CTCCAACCCATCTTTCTTTTTGTTTTTTCCTTATGCCACTACTCAGTGCCTCCCTCTTACCCTCAGACTTCTTTCTCAAGGCAGAAGCTCTACCATTACAGCCACACCCCCAGTCTCACCCAATTACTTTTAGAGAGGCTGACATTTTTACCAGGAATAAAGAATACTTTTTTGTTTTTCTTCTGGTTGAAGCCTCTTGGCCCTTAAATTTAGGTGATTTCTGGTTGAAGCCTCTTGCCCCTTAAATTTAGGTGAGCCATAGATAGAATTATGCCAAGAGAATGACAGCCAAGCCTCAGTGGCTCATGCCTGTAATCCTAGCTACTGAACTCTAAGGATACTCACAGTTTGATGCCAGCCCAGTCAGAAAAGCCCATTAGACTCTAATCTCCAATGAATCAGCAAAAAACCCTGAAATGGTAGTCTGGCTCAAGAGGCAAAGAAAAAACTAAGTGAAAAAAACTAAGCGGGAGTGAAAAGCCCTGCGCTCAAGCCCCAGTACCAGCAGGCACGTGCACATGCATGCAGGGGCACACACACACGCGCGCGTGCGCGCGCGCGCGCGGGCTCACACACATATTTTCAAACAGTCTCAAAATATATTCTGAATCTTGTTTTGTAAGATTGAAGGATCTGAGCTACTTTAATCTATAATAGTAAGAAACCTTTCAATATCCTCAGGACTATTCATTGTGAAATTTGTACTTAGGGCTGAAAACTCCCATTTGCCCCCAAGCCAGTCCATTTTGTTTGGAGCAGCAGAAAAGATTCTTTTACATGAAAAGCCTCCATACCCCACACTCAGCAGGCTTGGGTACAACTTTCACACCCCTTTCACATACTTCCTAGAGCCTTTTGTTCTAGCAAAATGGACTCAGTTCTTCAGTTCTTTACGTGACAAAGTTTCAAGGACTTTCTCCACCCAGTTTAATCTCTTCTGAAAACACCTTAGTCTTTCACCAAAGCTAATGTGAGGCTCAAAGTCAGACCGTGGTACAACAGATGGAGTCTGGCCAGGGGAACCAGAGAACTAAAGCCTTTGTTGGCATTAGATACTTACTATTCAGTTAAGATAAACTAAATCAAAATAGGTTTTGATTTATCTGCCTATAAAATCAATACAATAGAGTACAATAGTGGGCTGGGAAGGTGGCTCAGTGGTAGAGCGCTTGCCTTGCATGCTCGAGGCCCTGGGTTTGATTCCTTAGCACCACATAAGCAAAAAGAAAAAAGCCAGAAGTGGTGCTGTGGCTCAAGTGGTAGAGGGCTAGCCTTGAGTTGAAGAGCTGAGGGACAGCGCCCAGGCCCAGAGTTCAGGCCCCACGACCGGACCCAAAAACAACAACAACAAATATGTGTGTGTGTGTGTGTGTGTGTGTGTGTGTGTGTGTGTGTGTGTGTGTGTGTGTGTGTGTGTGTGTGTGTGTATGGCTATTTTGGTTCTCAAAAGGTTTATTTCCACATTTCTACTGTTTTTAGAGAGGGTGCACACAAACTTAAAATGTTATTAAAATTAATTTTGCCCTTTGTATCCTAATTACATAGTTGTATTTCCCTTCTACTTTCATGTGAATATTTTCCCATTATAGCATTATACCATTTTCATATGCAAGAATAAAAATATTTAGTCAGGGGATGTGGCTTAGTGGTAGAGTGCTTGCATGAAGCCCGGGGTTCGATTCCTCAGTACCACATAAACTGAAAAGACTGGAAGTGGTGCTGTGGCTCAAGTGGGAGAGTGCTAGCCTTGAGCAAAAGAAGCTCAGGGACAGTGCCCAGGCCCTGAGTTCAAGCCCCAGGACTGGCAAAAAAATTTTTTTTAGTTGGGCAGTGGAATCCAAGCTACTCAGGAGGCTGCATGCAATCTGAGGGTTAAGGTTCAAAGGCAGACCCAGCAAGAGTTAGAGAGACTATCCCCAATTAAGCACCAAAAAAGCCAGAAGTGGAGCTGTGGCTCAAGTGTCACAGCGCTAGCCTTGAACAAAATAGCTCAGGGGTAATGCGGGGGCCTTGTTTGCAAACTCTAGGAGCAGCGCATGCTCGCTCACACACATGCTCTCTCTCAAACACACACACACAAAAATATTGAAGAAAATTATTTTTCTTTTGTACCAATACTGAGCCTTGAACTCAAGGCCTTATACTCTTTATCTTTTCTTTTCTTTTCTTTTTTTTTGATGTGGGCTTGAACTACAGGCCTGGCTTCCTTAGCTTTTTCCCTACTCAAAGCAGGTGTTCTACTACTTGAGTCATGACTCTGCTTCCCACTTTTTGCTGGTTAATTGGAGATAAGAGTCTCCTGGGTTTGTCTGCCCAAGAGGATTTGAAGAGGGACTCTCAGATCTTAGTCTCCTGAGTAGCTAGGATTAGAGGTGCCACTTGAGCCATAGCTTCACTGAAAATATTTAAAAGAATAAGGCAAAAACCAAGCTTTCTGTCCTCTTTTAAAATTGACCTGCAGGCTTAGCCATCCTAAAATCCTATAGTTTACCTTCTTATCAACACTTCTGACACCATTCTAATCATTTATAAATCCTGTTAAATCTAATCTCCAAATTTTTCTCTAGCTCTAACCAGGGACAGGAAAACAGACTAGACTCAAGGCCTTGGGAAAGTAGCCCCAGTATTCTATATCTATAGCATTCCCCTTCGTATTTACTCCAGAAATCTTATTGCAAAAAGCAATTGAGACAAAGAGTGAAAATGAATTATACAACTTAAGGGTGGGAATGGGAAGGAAAAACTGGGAGAGAGCAAGGGAAGGGGTGATAGTGTCCAAAAGAAATGTACTCTTGGGCTGGGAAGTTGGCTCAGTGGTAGAGTTCTTGCTTTGCATGCATGAGGCCCTGGGTTCAATTCCTCAGCACCACATAAGTAGAAAAAAAGCCAGAAGTGGCGCTGTGGCTCAAGTGGTAGGGCACTAGCCTTGAACTGAAGAGCTGGGGGACAGCATCCAAGCCCAGAGTTCAGGACCCACAAACAAACAAAACCCCTCTGTACATTACCTTTATAATAACAATGTTTTTTAAAACAATTGAGCTATTCTGACAAGTTCTCTTTTCAGCTCTAATGAGTATGGATTCTTCTTCTAAAAGCTTCCACAACTGCCATTGCTGGATATATGACATTTCTAGCAACTTTTCAGTAGCTCTGAAGTTGTATCCAAATGTTTTCTCAGTTTCCAGAGAAGTCATTCTCCCAGAGTAGAGATTTACATTTCCAGTAGAAAAAATGTTCTCTTTCCGTATTGAATTCATTGTAAATTCAATTTCCTTCCTGTGACTGGTTCATTTGTGATCTGTTCTCCTTGACAAAGAAGGTACAAGCCAAATAAAAGGATCCATCTTTATTTTACAAATTCAAAGCCAAGGCTAGAAGAGAAGTACCCAAGTGTGTTTCTAGTATAGATAAGAAGAAAAATCAATTGCTTAGGTAGCTACTACTATTTGCATTCCGCTACAGACACCAAGACAATTTTGTAGAATAGATATGACTGAGAGCTGATGGCTCATATCTGTAATTCTAGCTACTCAGAAGGCTAAGTCATAAGGATCGTAGTTCAAAGATTGCCTGGGTGGAAAAGTCTGTGAGACTCTTATCTCCAATTAACCAACAAAAAGCCACAAGTGGAACTAAAGTTCAAGAGGTACAGTGTCAGCCTTGAGTGATAAAGCCAAGGGAGAATGAGACACCAGAGTTTGAGCCTCAGTACCAGCACACACAATAAAATATTTTATCATTTCCCATCTTGTTAGAATGTATTATCTGGATTTTTAGAGGTTCAATTTGGTATTGAAAAACTGTTTTAAGAACAGTCAAGAACAACACTAGATTCTGACCCTTGTTTTAATGCTCAGATTAAACAATGAGTGAAAGAAAGCATAGAAACCATATCAGAAATATGGCTGCTTATCCTTTAGTTAATACTAACGGATAAGCTATCCAGGTTTTCCCATTGTGTCCACTGGCCACTGACTAGTTTACTCTGTTGTAGGAAGTGGCTATAAACTTTTGGATGGAAAGTTTGGATTGAGATTCTTTTGAATTCCTTCGGGTCTGAAAAACTATAAAGGCAGCAGAGTATGCCACCGCCAACGTTCAACAAAGACAGGAACAGATAAGAGTATGACAACCTTATTGATATCTTTAAGCAGTTGGCTTTAAAAGTTGAGTATCTTTAAGGGTCTCCACATGGTTAAGGCAGGTACTTACTTACTATCTGAACTGCAGACACCTATCACTAGAACACTTCACTTTCCTCTCCTTTACAAGGGAATAAAACAATGGCTGATCCAAAGGATGTCCCGTGTTTAATTGGCACTTTCTTTTTCTTTCATTGTGGAGGGGGAATAACTTTAAACATATTGGACTTAGCAGTTATAGAGCATTTGAAACGCACATTTGAAACAACTGCATTCCAAAAAGTAACCAAATTGAATCGCCATAATTCTGTCATTTTTCCCTTTCTTTAACCTATTTTCTAAGAGTCAGAGACTGCACATGTCTTTTTACTTTAACTGCTCAGTTTAAAATTACAGACAACTTTACAGATTTCATTTGTGCTCTGCCTATAGGTTTTATGGAGGTATGGTCCGACAACAGAGAAACAACTCTCTAGGTAGTCTTGGGAAAAAAACGAAAACCTCAGAAGGCGATGTTTTAGACTTTTTGTAAAAAGTGTGAATTCCCCAGGAAGAAAATAAGCCGACAACTACCAAATATTGCACATTAAATCTCCCCAGTACAAGCTTGGCCACCCTCCGGAGAGGGCACACAACTGATCACTCGGGGAGCTTTCTCTTTCCTCTCACTACTAATCCTATGAACTTCCAGCCATAATTGTATGCAGAACTGGTTCGGAGATCTGCCTGGAAGGCTAGTGAATAATCCTTACCATCTTTCCCCCGCCTAAGACTGACCTCTTTGGGGTAAGCCATATAGCTTGGAGTGACAGAACAGCATATGGAGCACAAGCAGCCATGGGGTGCGACATCACGTACCTGGAGTCTCAAGCAGGGCGAACAAGAGGCAGAAGACCAAGACAGACGGGACACCACGCCACAGAGCAAGCATCCTAGGTCGCTGAGGGCAGCAGAGTGCTAGAGCTCCATAGTTCATCGTCTCAGTCCTTGGTCAGATGAAAAGGCAGGGTATAGGGATAGAGTTACTCTCACCTTTCACCTCTGAACTCTAGCACCTACTTACCCAAGACCCAGCAACCCCCTCCTGGGGCCCAAAGATACCCAGCTATTCTGGGGGGGGGGGATCATAGGTGAGGAAGGTTAGCCCAGGACTCTTGGCTGACTACCCCTCCCTCCTCCCAGGCTCCCAGTTCCCTAACCTTTGGCGGCAGGTGAGCTGTTAGGGTTTCTGAGGCGCCTATACTCCAAACCCTCGATACTACAGGTGTAGCTCAGCTTCTCTGAGGCGCTCCAAACTTTCTGCAGAAGGCAGCCAAAATTAGAGAGGAAGTTGGGACAGCCTGGAGCAAGGCGGGGAAGGAGAGGGCGCGTGTGGGGAGCCTGGAGGAAGGCAGGCGCCCCCGCAAAGCCGGAGACCAGTGCAGCCAGCCAGTCTGAGAGCTGCAGTGCTCTAGGGAGCTAGTGTGTGATGGAGCCGCGTTTCCCTTTCCTCCTCCGCATAGCCCACCAGCCCCCTCCCCCCAGTCTGATTTCCCCTTGGCTAAGACCTTGGGTAGGATCCAGGAGGAGTGAGGGGACTTCTTTCTGGAAAGAGAGGAAACCCACGTCAGCACAGGCACACCCCAAGGAGGAGAGGCCAGGACTCCTATTCAGCCTTCCAGAGGCAGGAAGATTAAAGCTGCTGGGGAGCTGTTATGGAGATGCAGATTTTTAGAGAAGTTGTAAGTAATTGATACTGGGACTAGTGCTGAGTGGAGAACTCAAATTACAAAGGAGAAAACTTAAGCCCGTAAAGGCTGCTTGCCTTTGCCTAGGTAACATTTGGGCAGAGTGAATGTTTTCAGACATTCTTATCTCTCTACACCCCTCTACTCAGTGATGATAGGGGCTTTAGCGTTCTGTGATGAGCACGTTAACCTTTTAGGGAAGGAGAGAGCTAACCCCAAACTGATACTTTATTTTAATTTCCCTGCTGCCTACTACACTCCCAGGAAATATAGAAAAAAAAATACAAGGAGCTTCAAGCTCCCATCTCCACTCACACCTCTGCCTCTACCCACACCTAGACTTGCAGGACTCTGGCTGCCCCTTTTTCCTTCCCCACAGGCTTCTAGCCAAGAGAAACTAAAGCAGAGAAAGTAAATAATGGATGCCACATCACACAGGTAGGAAGTAGGGAAGCCCAAAAGTATAATCAAGTTTGATTCCAGAGTTCAGGTCCAAAACACTTAGAATGTACATGTTAAAACACTCTTTTTTTTTGTCAGTTTAGGGCTTGAACTCTGGGCCTAGGCGCTGTCCCTCAGCTCTTCAGTTCAAGGCAAGCACTCTACCACTTGAGCCACAGCGCCACTTCCAGTTTTCTGATGGTTTATTGGAGATAAAAGTCTCATGGACCTTCCTGCCCAGGCTGGCTTTGAACCAAGATCCTTAGATCTCAGCCTCCTGAGTAGCTGTTAGGATTACAGGCATAAGCCACTTGCCCAGGATGGTTTTTAACCATGATCCTCAAATCGCACCCTCCTGAGTAGCAAGTATTACAGGCATAAGTCATGGTTCTCCAGTTGTAAAAACACTTCACTATAGAAAGAAATATAAAACTGTAATACTATTTATAGCTATTCAGAAGGCTGAGATCAAAGTCACAGGCAGATACATCCATGAGACACTTACCTCCAGCTAACAAGCAAGAGACAGAGATGTGGCAAAAGTGGATATGTTGTTCAACTGGTAGAGCAACAGCTTTGAGCAGAAAAACCAAGCAAGAAGGCAAGGCTCTGAGTTTGAGCTCCAGTACCCATACAAAATAAGAATAATCATAAAATCCACACATTTTCAGAAATGTACCCAATGTAACTACTTTGTACAGATGGAGAAACACAAGTATGATTAAGGGAAATAAGATGTACAAGTTGACTCAGTGATCACTCTCAAACCTAGAACCTATGTGAAATCAAACTGAACAGATATGAGCCTAATGTGTACCTGAACCTTGACCCATCTACATTAGGTTTCCTGTCATTGATGGAATCACATGACTCACATCGTGTCCAGCTTTACTCTGCAGAGCAATCTATGGAAACTTTTCTTCCTATACTGACTTGCTACCACAATCCTCCCAACCAATTAGCTTGAGATGGCAGGAGCACTTGACTAGTGCCCAATGGTAGGTTGAGGAGTTTTGGAGACTCTTTTGCCATGCTGGCCTCAAACTGAGATCCTCTAGTTCACAGGTTTCCAATGAGCGAGGGATACTGGCAAAGCCTCCAGAACCTATTGAAGTTTAGACTTTTGTTTTTTTTTTTGTTTTTTTTTGCTTATGTGGTGCTGAGGAATCGAACCCAGGGCCTCAGGCATGCAAGGCAAGCGCTCTACCACTGAGCCACCTTCCCAGCCCAAGTTTAGACTTTTGTTAAGGCAGTAGGGGTGCAATTGAAATCTTTTAGGTTCTCAGTGATCAAATGGAAGTAGTTGTGACATACAAAAACAACAACAACAAGAACCAAAAACAGAAGAAAAACAAAAACACTCAGATCCTAGAGAAACTAAAGGTTAGTCCAGGGTCTGTCCCATTTTCACATGCTTCAGTTCCTATCTTTGGCTCTCAGAGAGGAAACAGTTGTACAATAATCAATCCAGTATGGGGCTGGGAAGGTGCCTCAGTGGTAGAGTGCTTGTCTTGCATGCATGAGGCCCTGGGTTCAATTCCTCAGCACCACATAAGCAGAAAAAGTCAGAAGCGGTGCTGTGGCTCAAGTGGTAGAGCGCTAGCCTTGAGCTGAAGAGCTGAGGGACAGCTCTCAGGCCCAGAGTTCAGGCCCCATGACTGATAAAAAAAATCAATCCAGCAGAAAGCATTTTATGAATCTCCATTTTGATGGTCACACATTTTGGAAGTCATGAGCAAAGGGTTTATGTAAAACTGGCTAGATTCACCAGAAGGAAAATTTAACTTACTAATTGACACATACAAACTTGAGCTGGGAAGCAGAAGTTGAGTTGAATGAAGAACTTGAGACATCCAGACATTGGTGGCTTATACCTGTAATCCTAGCTACTCAGGAGTCTGAGATCTGAGGATCATGGTTCAAAGACAGCCTGGGCAAGAAAGTCCATGAGACTCTTATCTCCAATAAACCATTAGAAAACCAGAAGTGGCACTTGGTTCAAGTGGTAGAGTCCTAGCCTTGAGCTGAAGAGCTGAGAGATAGCGCCCAAGCCCAGAGTTTAAGTCCCACCACCGACAAAAACAAAACAAAACAAAAACTTGAGATAGCTCATTAGTTTTATTATGGTCTCAAACTGAAGAGAACCAAATGGTGAAGTGGAATCCACAGGTACTCTCTTCCTCTCTGGGATGAGGTGTGATAGTGTGATAATCCAGGACAGGCAAAATTAACTGTCTAACCATTTTTGTCCTCTCAGCTTCCAAGATGCCTGTCTTACTTGTGAAATGATAAGCAAATCAAATCAAATTATTAATCATACAAAGTAAGATTCATTTGGAAATCCAGGTATTGGTGACTCATATCTGTAATTCTAGCCACTCAGGAGGCTGAGAGCTAAGGATTACAGTTTGAAACAAGCCCAGACAGGAAAGTCCATGAGATTCATCTCCAATTAATCACCAAAAAAAAGGCTGACGTGGAGCAAAAGTGAAGCTGAAGCTCTCAACTGGTAGAGCACCAGCCTTGAGTAAAAAACCTAAGGGATAACAGGTCCTAGTTCTAGCCCCAGTATTGGTATGCACACACTGCACACATACACACACACACACACACACACACACACACACAATTTAGAATGCTGTTTAATAGGTTATATTCTACCAGAGATAAATAAATGTCTTGATGGTACACATCTGTGGGATTATATCTGTAATCCCAGCACACGGAAGTCTAAGGCTGAAAGACTATGAGTTAAAGGCAAACTTCAGCTACATACTAAGATCCAGACTACTCTGGGCTATATATCAAGATACTATCTCAAAAAATTAATTAGTTATATTTAATTTTTAAAACTAAAGGAGTTAGGTGCTGGTGACTCATGCTTGAGCTCCTAGTTGCTCAGAAGGCTGAGATCTGAGTATAGCAAGTCGACTAGCCAGAGCAGAAAAAGGCTATGAAAATTTTATGTCCAACAGACTACTCAGAAAAGCCAGAATTGGCACTGTGGCACAAGTGTCTGTAGAGCACTACCCTTGAGCAAAAAGAAGCTCAGGGAAAGTGCCTGGACCCTGAGTTAAATTCCCAGGACTGGTGAAAAAAAATTCAAACACGAAAAAAGCTCTTAAAATAAAAATAAGCAGAAATGGCCTGAGAATGAATGGCAGTCTATGACTGACCAAACTAAAATCTTCAAGGAGATACAAATAGCTATCCCAGGGTTAACAAGAAATTTGTCCATAACTCTAAGAAATACATTGGTCTGTGAATATATTTCTCTCTTTGGTGGGAGAAAGCACCACCAGAAGAGAAAGCAGTTCAAGATGATGCTCAAAACAAGGAATGTGGGCTGGGAAGGTGGCTCAGTAGTAGAGTGCTTGCCTTGCATGCAAGGCCATGGGTTCGATTTCTTAGTATCACATAAGCAGAAAAAAGCCGGAAGTGGCACTGTGGCTCAAGTGGTAGAGTGTTAGTCTTGAGCTGAAGAACTGAGGGACAGCACTCAGGTCCAGAGTTCAGGCCCCGAAAACACACACACACACACACACACACACACACACACACACACACACACACACACACACACACACACACACACGGAAAGTTCAGAAGGTCAGTGTCACAGAGGTAACTAATCCTATTTATTTATCTATTTGTTTGTTTGTTTATGTCAGTACTAGAGCTTGAATTAAGGGCTCTCCCTTAACTTTCTCCCTTAAGGCTAACGCTCTACCACTTGAGACACAATTCCTCCTTCCAGCTTTTTACTGGCCAATTATAAATAAGTCTCATGGACTTTTCTGCCTAGGTTGGCTTCAAACCAGAATCCTCAGTTCTCAAACTCCTGAGTAGCTTGGATTACTGGCGTGAGCCACCTCCATCCAGCCACTAATCCCATTTATGAGGTTTTAGTCCAATTGTCTCCTTAAAAGTCCCATTCTTACTACTGTCCTCTTGTGTGTTAGGATTTCAACATTTGAATATTGAGAATATTGAGCAGGGCACAAACATTCAAACCATATCATCTGTAGCCAACCTATGTCCTGAAGTAAAAACAACATCACAGAGATGGAAATGTCCACGCATATTAAGGACAGTTCAGGAATTGTGAAATAAACAGGTAGTTCTCAGCTTTAAATACATATTAGAACCATGTGGAACATTTTGAAAACATATTGAAATGCAAATTCCACCAATTTCTTGAGTATTCCTAAGTGGGACTAGGGCATTTCTTTTTCTTAAAAACTCAGCCAACTTGGCACCAGTGACACAGGAAATATGGCTAGAGATTTAGCTGTAGAACCTAGTTAACAGAACTGGAAGACCCTCTTTCTCCTAGGGCCAGGG